AAGTATTGATCTTAGTATAATAATTGTTGTAGGTGTTTGACGAGCCGTGCTCGCTGCCTACTCCTGATTGTGTGCTATTTCCCTTGCGGTACCAGGTGGGTTTTACTTATATAATTTGTCTATGCCATACGTGTTGTTTAATGTTTAGTTGGTATGACCAATGTATGAAGGTGAACCATGTAGCCTATCGATGTGAGCTGTTACGGCCGTCGGTACGGTTGTCCCCGTCGAGTTACGGTACGGTTGCCCTTGCGAGGCAAGTCTCTTTAAGACCTAATGAAAGGCCGTGTCCGTTACAGTGGCACGCACTCCCGTCGTTAGGGTTTATGCATCCCCTTTCCGCGGCTAATGATAGATGTGCACATGAGTGAGTTATTGTTGTGATTGTTAGGAGATGAGACATGATGATGATTGATTTATATTCATACTGCGATACCATCTAAACATGTATTATTTATGTGCATAGTGGTGAGCACGCTTTTCATCTTGTGCTCATCCCCACCTGCTCTTTACCGATGCAGGTTAAGTGACAGCCGGGTGACGAGGAAGAGACGAGTTGGGTCGGTCTAATTACTTATGCATTTTTATTGCTTCCGTTGAACTTGAATAAGTTTGTTGCACGTTATGTTTTGTGCAAACTATTTTCAAACCTGGTGTGTTGGTTTTCGAATCTTATGAACCTTGGTTGTTATGGGATTTATGGTTGGATATTTAGTTCATGAGTTGATGTTGGTTAATGGAAACCGATTATGAAAACCGGGTAATGAATCCCCGTAGGCCCAGATAAGACTTGGGTTATGAAAATGTTGTTTAACACCCACTAAATTTTCGAAAATGAGTTTGAAAATTTTATACTGATTTTTGAAAAATCCGGAATTTCGGTAAAATCAAAGTGGGGTGTTACAGCTATCACAATTGGCCAGCGGGTTTTCAAGACCTTTGGCCGGCGGGAGTGGGTTAATCGGCCGGGTAACCGCCGGTAATGAGCCAAAACGGACCAAAGCCCCACTAGCGCCGGTGTTCGGGGGAGGATAAATCGAGCCACTGTGGACCGTGGCTATGGGGTGAAGATCCGAAACTGAAATATCCTTCCCGGAATAGACGACTGGCCATTCTCCTATGGGGGGAATACCTGCTATCTTCCCGAAATTATGATCCATGAATGCCATGAGAACTTTTCCAAAGTCAGGATGCTCAAAAAATTTGAAGAAATCTGATGGTGCCATATCAGACAGAGGTGCAGGGGGGTTTGACGGAAAATGGGTAGGTGGTGCCGGCGCCGAGAGGCCCGATGACGGGAGGATGGGAACCAAAGACAAAGGCTTTTTTATGGTGCTAAATTAGTTGTCTGATTGTGCTAGGTTAGTTGTCTGATTATGCATGGTTAGCTGTCTGATGGTGCTATGTTAATAGTTGCTATGTTAGTTGTTTGATGGTGCTAGGTTAGTTGTCTGATTCTGCTAGTTTAGTTGGCTGATTGTGCTAGGTTAGTTGTTTGTAGTTGCAAAGGTCACATAGCAAAACTTTGAAAGGCCATAACTTTACGTAGAAAGTTTCGTTTTGGACGATTTTTTTTTTTTTTTTATTTAGGGTAGCTCGACGAGATCTACGCAGCTGCAAACAGCCGAAGGCGGTTTGGCAGCCAAGTTTTCAAAAAAACGTCTTTTTCTTGCTTTAATTTCATTTTTTTTAAAAAAATATGTTTTTTGTATTTTTAAACTTCTATATCTCTTCAATCGAGACTCATTTTTCTAAGTTTTTTTTCATAACAATACTCTCAACCTCTTTTTTATGTACCAATTGGAAAAAAAATTAGAAAATGCATAGTCTCTGCAGTTGCTAGGTTAGTTGTCTGATGCTGTTATAGATTAGTTGTCTAATTGTGCTAGGTTAGTTGTTTGATTGTGCTAAGCTAATTGTCCGCATTTTAAGAGTTGACCTCATTTTAAGAGCTGACCTCATCTGATCTGCCCCTATATATATATAGGCCCTACAACCTTCAATTGCAAACAACCAACCAAACGCACAACGACCATTGAAAATCAATGTTAAGATGATATGTATGTAAACCGGCCACCAGGGTTCTATGCTTCTATTACCACAACAACCATTGAATAATTAAGTATAAGCATTTAAAATTTCAACCCCACCCATCTCAAATTTATTATATAAATTAATGCCGGAACCAATCCATATGTGTATATGATAATATGTGTAATAATCATACATATATATATATGATCGACCAACAAAATTGCAATGATCCACAAATTTTGAGTTCAATAAAATATAGAACTATCGAGGGTCTATTATTATTTTCAGTCTATATATAGATAGATATGTCATGAATTTATTAAATAGCACATGTCACCGGTGGGCAGCTTCTTATCCAACTGCACTGTAGTGCTGCTTTTAAGAACCCCGCACGTTTTAATGACCGCTGCATATATGAAAGGTCAATTTCATCAAACAACTAAATTGTAATTTTAGTTACCATATGTTTCACTATCTTTATTTTTTTCACTATCTTCGACATGCGTTTTTTTTTTTTTTGTTTTTTTCTTTTATCGTATGTTTGCAAAAATGTTACAACAAGGTCCTTTTTGCAACAGAAAGGTCATTTAAGTTATGCAAAAAAATATTTCAATTTTGTCTGTTATGTATGAAAAAGACTTTTTTGTAACCTTTTTGCAAATATATGAGACGAAAATCAAAATCACAATTTAAAGAGAATGAAAAAGTTAAGTTAGTGAAACATACAGAACTAGAATTATAATTTACTCTTTATCAAACTCACGTTCAACATTCGTGGTTTTTTTTTTTTTATCAACAATTCTTCATATTTTAAAAAATTAGGGAAAATTACAAAATATATCCAATAATTTAGAATATAGGTGATAATTTTACTCAATAATTTTCGAAATTGCAGAGTGCCCGCTACCTAATCAAACCACAAATATAATGCCCAAATGTGTCAATTAGAGATGTTCATTTTTTACAACTTTTTTTTTTTAAAAAAAATCAGTAAGTTGAAATTATTGCTTGACATTTGTAGTTTTATGTCGTGTTCGTGCTCGATTTTTATTAGTTACATGGCATTTTGTGCAATTACATAAGTTGGACTAAATTATGGGAAGATGCTACGGTTCTGTTACAGAACCATTTCGTCGAGATTTGTAACCGTTAGATCAACTATCTCTGACGGTTACATAATGATATAACAGTTACAAATCTTTGCGGAATGATTCCGTAACATGACCTTAACATTTTCCATTATTTGTATACGTACCCAAGTTACCAGCAATATTCCCTAATAAAATATTCTCTTGAGGGAGAGCTTTGCCGCCCTTGTGGTCCTACCCGGCTCGATTCCGGATTAGTCGGTTCCCCTGTGAATCCGGAAACCGGAAGGTCCCTGTACCAAAAAAAAAAAAAAATATTACATTACACATAGCAAAAGGATGCATGAGTGCATTTATAAATAGCGGGTGGCAAGTGCAGCAGTGTATATATAGTCATATGATTATACAACCTAACGTCATTAAATTTCCATATAGTCTGTCATATGAAAACAATTAGTACATGCGGTGATGAACAGGAGAGAAGAATATATGGAACCCAAGATCTGTGCAGTTATTTTCCTGCTGTTGTTGAGTTTTCGAGCTGAAAGTGGACGTTTGTCTTATGATTTCTACCACCAATCCTGCCCTCAGCTGTATGGTATTGTCCGAGCCGGGGTTGAGTCGGCCTCTGTGCTCGATCCCACCACCCCGGCAGCCCTTCTCAGGCTCATGTTTCATGACTGCCAAGTTCAGGTCTCTCTCTCTCACGTGACGGGATGATTACAGTCCCGTCACGGTATGATTCCGTTCATTTATTCTAAATGGTAATTGGATATTCACAATTATTATTAGCCTTTAGATATCGAAAGTTGTATATTAACTGTACACATGCTGTATTCTAAAACCATCGCGTCATGGACTGTAGTATTTTCCAATAACAAAACACACTCTTAAAAGGTCTATTCCAGTATATCATCCAAGACCCTACTGATCACCAATATCAATCTTTCACAATTAACTAATTAATACTTGATTATTTTTCATGTTTGGAATTGATATATTTGACAGGGTTGTGATGGCTCCATCCTTGTCGATCCCGACGGACACACGGTCAAATTCTCCGAAACCGCGTCGTCCAAGAATTTCGGGATCCGAAAGAGGGAGTTGATAGAGGCCATGAAATCGACTGTGGAGGCCGTCTGCCCGCAAAAGGTGTCGTGTTCGGACATCATAGTATTGGCCGCACGAGAAGCGGTTGCTTTATCCGGAGGGCCTACAATTGATGTCCCCTTAGGCCGTAGGGATTCTACGAACCCTCCCAATCTCACCCTCGTCGATACCTCACTTCCTTCGGCCGACACCGATGTCGATGCTATGCTCCGAATCTTCGCGGCAAAGGGAATGTCTGTACAAGAATCCGTTGCCATTTTAGGTACAGTTATATTATCATATTTCAAAAGGGAACTTTCAAAGTGGCTATATTTATTCAGTCATTTAGTAACTTTCGTTTGATGATTTTGCAGGGGCTCACACCCTGGGAACCACACACTGCGTAAACCTCAGGAGCCGTTTATACGGGCGGCGGAAGGACAATAAGGCTCGGAATCCGGCAGCCGCAAAACCAGGATTCTTAAACGCGCTGAGACTGCAGTGCCCCGTGGGGCCCATGGCCGCGGCACTGGGAATGGTCCAGAACGACATCACCTCGGTGATGTTCGACAACCAATATTTTGTGGGGTCGGCGAGTGGACTCGGCGTGCTCGATATTGACGCCCAGATGCCTGTGGACACGCGGACGAGGCCGCACGTCGAGAAGTTCGCCGGCGACGGGGCTGCATTTTTCAGGGCATTTTCGTCGGCGTTTGTCAAGCTGTCACTGTCAGATGTTCTCACGGGTGACCGAGGTGTGATTAAGGGGAGTTGCACTACACTGTATTGAGGACCTGGATGTAAATATATGTATTGTGATGAATATATGTGTAAAAACTATATGCCAATCGAAAAATTAAAAAATTCAAAATTCAGTCTAGAAAAGATCAAAAGAGTAAGAGAAAAGGAAATGCAATTTTAGTCCTCTATTGTTTCCGTATTTAGAGGCCAATGACTGAAGTTCCATGAATTGGAAAAAAGTCTCTTTTTCGGGTTTCTTAGTTCCATGAATTGGATGGCAGATCTTCGTCTTCTAGTCGATATCATTGTGCGATCTTTTCATCATCTGTTTTTTCCTTGATTATTTTCTTGTTCTAGTGTCCTTTTGACTTTCTCGTCTCCGTCTGTTTTGGCGAACTGGAAGACCGTTTTCCATCCGTATGCTTGGGCCTAATCTGTTCCTCTTCACCTTCCAGATTGAAGAAGATAAACTGAAAGTATTGAAAGGGAAAGCATGGTCATTTGATGGGCAGTATCTCATACTGAAAGAGTGGCAACCGAATGACATTGAATTCCGGGATGAGGAGCTAAAAGTGGAGCTCTGGGTGCAGCTTCATGGAGTGCCTTTGCACTGGATCTCCTCTGAGACAGGTCTGAAAGTGGGTAAAATGTTTCAGAATGTGATTAACGTGGTAACTCCGGGACCAGGGAGTATTAATGGGCATTTGATGAAAATCCTGGCTGAAGTTAATGTTTTAGAGCCTATACCTCGAGGAACTCTAATTAAGCTAGGAAAGGAAGAGCAATGGGTAGAGTTTAGATATGAGAACCTGATGAATTTCTGCTTTTACTGTGGTTTGATAGGACATAGCGAGCGAACTTGTGATTGTAAGAAGTCAGACATCAAGAGGAATATTATGAAAACTGGCCAATATGGGGATTGGTTGAAAGGGTCTTTTGTGAGTTTCAGCGAACCCAGGGATCTTAGGTCGCCTAGCCCGAGTGATGCTATGCCACACTCGATGTCTAGTAAGACCAAGGATAATGTGACTAGTGACAATAGCCCTAGGACTAGCATGAGTCCTAACCAGGGTGTCACCAGGTCAGTGTCTGTGAGGGGTAATGATAGTCAAGTAGCCAAAGGAGAGGAGTTGGGTGGGACTTCTAAGGATAACATGAAATCCTTGGAGGGACCTGATTTGAATTCCCAGGGTTTTAAAACTAGTGGTAGTCAGCCCATGGATATGGAGGGTAATCCAAATAAGAATCTTGATACTCCTACCCTTGTGGAGGTGGAAGTGAATCAAGATTCTATGAATTCTTCTTTGCCCAAAAAGAAGAAATCTTTTGTTAGGATAGCCAGATGCAAACCACCAGAAACAAATCCTAAATTTGTTGAGGGGACTGTGGGTGAGGCAGGGTCTGTCCTTGATGGTGCTACCATAAAAAGGAAGGAACCTGAGTGTGTTCTGGAGACAGAGGATGAGTCCCTATCTGTTTTGAAAAAACAGAAACTTGAAAATAGTCTTTTTGAATCAATGGTGGAGGAAACCAGCCATAATTGGTCCCAAGTTTCCAAATGGAAGTCTTGGTGTGGAATTGTAGAGGTTTGGGAGGACCTTCTACAATTCCCCAGTTGAAGGCTATGATAAGGGCCTACCTCCCAATTTTCACTTTTATTTCTGAAACTAAGAAAAAAAAATCTTTTGTTGCTACTGTTTGTAAAAATCTTAAGATGGATGATAGGTGGGTGTGTGTGGATCCTGTGGGTAAGAGTGGAGGTCTCCTTTTGTGCTGGTCTGATAAGGTCTCCATTGTGGAGATTGTTAATAATTTCTTTTGTTTAGAAGTCTGTTTTAGGCTTCAATGAGTGGAGGATGTGTTATGGGCTATTTTTGTCTATGCTAGTGTGGATGCTAGAGTCAAAAATGACCAATTTAGCCTTTTATGCAGGCATCACTTTAGATGGGGGGGTTTGTGGTTCATGGGAGGTGACTTTAATGCTATCCTCAGCAATGAGGAAAAGCAAGGGGGTTTAAGAAGGGAGGAGAGCAGTTTTAGTAATTTTAGAACTTTTTGTCATAATCTGTGTTTGGTGGACTGCCCTACATCAGGGCATCCCTTCACATGGTCTACTAATAGACAAGGGAGTGAGTTCATAGAGGAAAAATTAGACAGAGTGTTTCTTTCTCCTGAATGGGCTTTAAAATTTCCAAATTCTTCAGTGCTTAATATTCCTCTGATGGCATCTGACCATAGCATGCTTATGTTGAATTCTGAGAGTTCAGATATGAAGGTTAGGAAGAGATTTTTCTTTGATAATAGGTGGATTAATAAGGAAGGTTTTAAAGATTGTGTGCAGAAAGCTTGGGATAAAGAAGTGGCTGGGAGAGGGATGTATAAATTCCAACAGAAGTTGAGATGTGTGAAAAAAGGTTTACTAGGGTGGGTAGGGAGTAGTAGGCTTAACTCTGCTGAGGTCATTAAGGTGTGCAATGCTAAGTTAGAGGTGATGGGGGCTCAAGGTGGGTTCAGAAACTGGGAAGAATGGTTTGAATGTAGAGCAAAACTGCACCAAGCTTACAAGGACGAGGAGCTGTATTGGAAGCAAAAGGCCAGGGTTAGGTGGCTAAAAGAAGGGGATAAGAATACTAGGTTTTTCCATGCTTGTGTGAAGCAAAGAAGAGTTAGTAACTGCTTGGATAACCTAGTCAAAATGAATGGAAGGAGATGTAAAGGGAGGCAAGAGGCTTTAACTGAGGTGACTACTTTCTTTCAGCAGCTGTACAGATCTGAAGTTCCTAACTTGGATGTGAGTGTGCTCAATGGTATCCCTAAATCCATAACAACTGAAATGAACCAGGCTCTCACAGTGAATGTTGAGGAAGATGAACTAAAACAAGCTCTGTGGGACATGGAACCTCTGAAGGCTCCAGGTATTGATGGCTTTAATCCCTCATTCTTTCAATCTTCTTGGGCTATTATCAAATCTAACTTGTTAAATGTTGTGAATAATTTTCTGAATTCTGCTTGTCTTCCCAAAGCTACCAACCATACAGTTATTACCCTAATTCCCAAAGCCAAAAATCCTGAGAAGGTCACTGATTGTAGACCCATCAGCTTGTGCACAGTGACCTATAGAATTATTGCTAAGATATTGGCTAATAGATTAAAACCTGTCCTTCATGTTTGTATATCCCAAGCCCAAGCTGCCTTTGTGCCTAATAGGCAAATTTTGGATAATGTAGTTTTAGCCAATGAATGTTTCCATTTTCTGAATAGTAAAAAAAGAGGGAAAAAATGCTTCATGGCCCTCAAATTAGATATGGCTAAGGCTTACGATAGGGTTGAATGGGATTTTCTGTTCCTACTCTGTAAGCATATGGGTTTTTGTGATCGGTTTTTGTTTTGGCTCAAGGTCTGTGTTTCCACCTCCTCTTTTTCTTTTAATTTTGATGGGCAGCCTTTAGGTAATATTATTCCCTCCAGAGGATTAAGGCAAGGGGATCTCTTGTCTCCTTATCTATTCATAATCCTATCTGAGGCCTTTTCTAATCTTATTTTGCAAGCTTGTAAATTCCAGTCCTTTCAAGGTCTTAGAATCAGCAAATTTTCCCCTGTCATTTCTCACCTCTTTTTTGCTGATGACTCCTTGATTTTATGCCAAGCTGATGAATATCATGCCTCCTTATTGCTTAATATTTTATCTGTTTATTGTAAAGCTTCTGGACAAGCTGTCAACTTCAATAAATCGAGCATTTTTTTCTCTAAAAATTCCCCAGTGACTTTGAAGAACATGATCTGCCAAAAGCTTCATGGTATCAAAGAAGCCCACAAGTCTAAATATTTAGGGCTCCCTTTAGGTATAGGTAGAAACAAAAGAGAGACTTTCTCTTTTCTCAAAGAGTGTGTGGTGAATAGAGTGACTAGTTGGAAAAACAAGTTTCTTAGTGAAGCAGGTAGGGAGACTTTGATAAAAATAGTGTTGAGTGCTATGCCCATATATGTTATGTCAGTGTTTAGAGTCCCTGTCAGTGTTTGTGAGGAGATTTTTAGTACTGTGGCTAGGTTTTGGTGGGGCCAGAATAGTGAAGGGGGCCAAAAGATTCATTGGGCTAGCTGGGATAAGATTGCTAAGCCTAAAAGTGAAGGGGGGTTGGGGTTTAGTAATTTGAGAGATTTCAATGAAGCTTTATTAGTCAGCAACTTTGGAGGGTGCTGACCAATCCCAACATATTGATGAGTCAGGTGATTAGAGGGAAATACTTCCATCAACAAAATCTCAGACATGTTGAAGCTAAAAGCTCTGACTCATGGATGTGGAAATCTTGGTTAGAAGCTAGGAAATCTCTGGCTTTGGGGGCAAGATACCAAGTGGGCAATGGCTTGTCTATTAACATATGGGATTCTCCATGGATTCCTGACTCTCATAACTTTAAACCCACTTGTTGTTATCTTGCAGACAAAGAGAGGATCTCTATGGTGTCTGATTTGATGATTTCAGGGCAGAGAAGATAGAATAAAGAATCGATCCTGCAAATTTTCAACCCATCTGATGCAACTAATATTTTGAAAATAAATATCAGTCAAGTGAGCTCTACAGATAAGCTGGTGTGGCATTTTGATAATAAAGGCATGTTTTCAGTTCAAACGACATACAAAGCCATTTTGAAAGACAGGAAAAGAAGGAGAGGGGATGTGGGGACAGGCACGGGGGAGAAGAGCACTCAAAAGGTTTGGAAACTTCTTTGGAAATTGCCAGTTAAACACAAAATTAGGAATTTTTTGTGGAGATGTTGGCACAATTGGATAGGAACAAATCTAAATCTCAGAAAGAAAGGGTTGAAGGTGGATCCAATATGTTGCTGGTGTGGGGAAGCAGATGAAGATGTAAATCACTTGTTTTTCAAATGTACAAGAGCTCAAAAGATCTGGAAAATAGCTGGGCATCACTGGACTAAACTGGAGCAGATGGAGATTGGCTTTCAAGACTGGTGGGATGATTTGTGTAATCTCAAGATGAACACCCACAACAAAAACAAGATCACTCTTTCTACCTATCTATTGTGG